CGCCTGAGGAATGCTTCATTATCATCATACCAAACACTGAAGTATTAGGTATGCATGTGTGTTAAAAAGAGCAAACCCTTTTTATTTTAAGATATGTTTTTTTAAATACTACTTACCTACCTCAAATATGTACAATATAATACTTAATCTATGATACTAAGCATTTGTCCCTGTCAGTTTGACAGTAGTGACGCAGTCATAGAAACTACCCATGTATTTAGTTTATTATGCATAAAAGTAGTGATTATATTCTCTTTTTTGATGCACTCAACTTAACATTATGGGTCACCAACTTAGCACAATTTTCACCAGTTTAGGTAGATTCTTTGAATATCCAGTAAAGAGGAAACCGATATGTTTCTATAGACAAGAAGATTTTACAGCTACAGGTGCGTACCGCTCTTTACCTAAGGCAAAGTCATAAACTATATTACATGGAGTGTAGAGTTTAGAAGAACCGTCTCACATGGAGAATAGTAAAAAAGTGTCCATCTGTAAGCAGTAAATAACATAACATAACATAACATAAACACTCACGCCTGTCACCCAGAGGGGTAGGCAGAGATTACGGACTTCCATTTGGCACGATCCTGACATACCTCTTTCGCCTCCTTTACATCCATATATCTACGCATACATGCTCGTCGGTTAAGGGTACTTCTAACGTGGCCCATTTTCAAAATATCGCCAATTTGGTCGACAAACTTTTTTCTAGGGCGTCCCTTCCCGACTCGGCTGTTCACATCTGCCATATAAATTTGCTTTGTCACTCTTTCATCATTCATTCTTTCTACGTGACCAAACCACCGAAGCATTCCTTTCTTAATCCTGGTCACAACATCATCTTGCATACCACATTTATCTCTTATCACGCAATTTCTCACCCTGTCATTCAGATTAAACCCTAGCATATTTCTTAAAGAATGCATTTCTACAGCATTTATTCTACTTTCGTGCTTCTTCTGCCACACCCAGCTTTCACTACCATACATTAACGTAGGGACTAACACAGCATTATGAATTACCATACGTGCCTGTTTTGACACATTCTGGTTCTTCATAATAGAGTGTAGTGCCCCATTCACTCTATTCCCTGCATTTACTCGTCGTTCTATATCCCTATCATATCTACCATCCCTGCTAAATACACATCCCAAATACACAAACTCATCCACTTGCTCAATTAACTCTCCTTCTATTCTTATTTCACATACCGTTTTGCTTTCTTCTCTTTCAAAAACCATCACTTTCGTCTTACTTGCGTTCACTTTCATTCCCCTTTCTTTTAATTACCAGTTCATTAATGTAACCATCATTTGCAACTCAGCCGCTGATGACGCAAATATGACTTGATCATCGGCATACAAAAGGCATTTGACGGTTAACTCGCCCATTCTTAAACCACATTCTTCATCTTTCAAAGTTTGCAAACACCGGTCCATAAATAGGTTGAACAGCCAAGGGGAAGCTACACAGCCCTGTCTGACACCTTTTTGGATGCCAAACCAGTCCGAGTAGACCCCATTGATCCTGACACAAGTACTAGAGTCCCTATAAAGAGACCCTAATGCCTGTATCAAACCAGCGCTCAACCCATATGAGTTCAGTGTTTGCCATAACACATTCCTGTCCACTCTGTCATAAGCCTTTTCCAAGTCCATAAACGCACAAAAAACTTTCTGGTTTTTGGCCAAAAACTTCTCCGCAATCATGCGCATGGAAAAGACTTGATCTGTGCACCCCATTCCCTTTCTAAAACCCGCTTGCACATCCCAAATTTTTCCATCAGTTTCTTTCATAACTCTTTCAATTAACACCTTAGCATACAGTTTACCCACAATACTAAGCAAGCTGATACCGCGGTAGTTTTTGCAGTCCTGCTGTGACCCTTTTCCTTTATATATTGGTACTATAACTGCTTTACACCAGTCATCCGGTACCCGTTTTAATTCCCAACATAAATTAAACAAGGTGTACAGCAGGCCTGCCACCACTCCCTCTCCAGCCCTTAGCATCTCGAGTGATACTCTATCATATCCAGCTGTCTTACCTGCTTTCATGCTTTTCATTGCTTTCATTATTTCATCTACACTTATCTCCATACCCCTTTCCACTTCTTTCGGAATTTCTAGTTCATTTAATTCATACGACTCTTCACTCATAAACACGCTTTCAAAGTATTCCTTCCATCTGTTTAAATTCGAAACTTCATCATTCAGAATACATCCATTCTCGTCTCTTATAGCATTTATTATAGGCTGTTTTGTATTTCCCCTGGCAGTTCTTACGAGTTTCCAGAACATTTTTATGTTAGCCTGGAAATTATCAGATATCCTTCTATCATTCTTATCCATTCTTTCTTTCTTTTTCCTTTCAACAACTTCTTTTACTCTCTTATTTAGACGTCTAAATTCTGCCTTTTTTCTTTCAATCTCATCATTCATACCAGAAGAATTACCAGCTTTGGTTGCTAGTAAATCTAACCAAGCAGTAAATAACAGTTCAAAAACTCTCCACAACAGCGCTAGAGTATGGTATGAAATGAACTTATCAGTTGTCGACGGAGTGAAGTGTGCTGAGTTGAGGATTTTAATATTTGTGGTGACTAGAGTAGCTGATGAAACTGCAGTATTTAAAACCTCACCTATTCACGTTGTCTAAAATAACTTAGTGAATATATAACGTAGAAAAAGTCCCCGTGAAACTCTGAGCAATTTTTTTAAAATTTTGAAAATTATAAAATATTATAAAAATAATTATGGTAAAAGTTTTTGCAATAAAAGGTAGGTAATAAAAAGCTTTAAAATTTACCATCTAGCTACAGAGGCGTCATCCTTATTTAACGCTTTTCTACGGACCTTTATACAGGGACGGTTCTCCTTACCTTTACCTCCATGCTATATAATCATGGACTTAGAAAAAAGGGTGGACGCCGTCTCTTAAAACAATCACTGACGCACCCATAGTAAGTAAGTTCGCTAATACAAACAAGCCAGTACGCACACATGCACACCATAGTAAGTCTACTGCCCGCCATACGTTATAATCCGCGCTCGCTAGTTACTCACACATAGTTAAACGGCCGCCATTGCGGTGCGTCAATTGTTTCTTAGCGACACTCTGTCCGCCCTTTATTCTAGGTCCATGTATATAATAAAGAAATTATAAGCAAGATCGGGTTAATTTTTATTTTCCTTGACACAAGCCTACGTATAAACTCAATTTTTTTTAAAATTTTCGCTGGAAACATGGAAATTTCCCACGTAATTTCATTGCTGCCAGCAAGCAGGCAGGAGACTCGTACGCTCAAATTTTAGGCGGTTAAGAGCCCTGCGCCTAAGCCACTATGCTACAAAATCTCGTGTTATTCACCTACATGCATTTATGTCTCATCTTATTCTGGGACTTACAGGTCCCATGTTTATGTGTAAATTAAAAGGATGTGGCATTTGTGTTAGTCTAGGATGTCGTAAAAGGCGACTAATGAAATATTGGGTTTGTGATTGTGTAAGCGATGGCTAACCGTCTATCATTGGACTCAGCCTACCCCTCGGGGAGTAGAGGCGTGGCGCTACATATGATCAATATATATTTATGTAATCGAAAATATTTTTGAACTAGGGGAACCTCAGAGAAAAGTGTCAGAATCATTAAAGACGACTATGACCGACTACGATAAGCTGGTGGATTTGTTCTACAAGCGGCTGGCGGAACAGCGGCAATACAATCAAGTACAATTGACTTGTAAAATTTCATCCTGGTATCTCTATATATAAAAATCAATTAGTCTATCTAAAATTCATTAAACGGCTCGAGCGATTTTGATGAACTTTTTTGTGTGTATTAGAATGGGTCCCTAGGTGGTTTAGATTCACATTTGGGCCCGGTAGGTGGCGCTGTCGTCGAGATCCAGAAAACGTTATCAGCGGATGTCTAGTTGTTAATGAAATTATTTCATACAGTTACATCATTACAGTGTTGGTTAAAAGAGATGTGTGTTATATTCTTTATTTTATCGGCCTGCAGGCCACTGCTGTACATGCGTCTTTTCCAATGTAACGAAGATTTACCTTAACCACCACGCTTAGAAGGCTGCCTTCTTCTTCTTCGATCACAGTAACGGAAGTCACGAACCTTTGACGTCGCTCCCAGTCCCTGGTGGTCTGGTGGTCGCTGGTGCGGGTATTTCACGTTTAGCATAATATAGTAGATGGCTACACGGTTAACTATCGGAAACCATAAAATTTCTCTTACATAGCCTATATAATCGCGTCTTACGACACCCACGCGATTGAATGGAGTGAAGGACTTTAGTCGCCACCAAGGTCTCAAATGATAACATGCAACATATTTTTTTATAGGATAAGGGTGACAAGCGAGCACACAGTCCACCTGATGGTAAGTGGCTGCTGTGGCCCATAGACATCTACATTTATCCTCGATTAAGAATCAAAATGCCTCGATTCCAGTAAAACGGGTCTCCGGTTCTCCACACTCACCATACGAAACACAGCAGCATTAAGTTATTTTACGCTGGTATTCTGTGAAAGAGTGGTCCTTCCCCGGTGGAGCCCACCCATTCATGCTACAACCATAATGTAGCTGAAGCGTGGCTCTACCATGTACAGAAACAGATCATTGAAAGAAACATTGAAAGAAGATGATATTATGGACATTACTTCAACACCACATTTTAAACTGTGTTTTGTTATTTTGTAGAAGTTAATTATAATGACGGATATTTGAATAATACTAAGTACGTGAAAAAACAAAACTGTAGTTATCAAAAAACATTTTCCCTTTAAGAATAAATTATACTTAATAATATTTCATAATATTTTCCTTTAAGAATAAATTATAATTTCTTTTAAGATATTTTTTTTAATAAGTTATTTTTTGGTACTTCAAAAATCCATTGTCATTGAAAGGAAACCGTATACTTGTCCAATCAGTGTAAGAATTTTCTACAGGAGATGAAGGAGCAAGACCGTCGTTGGAGTATGCAAAAAGTTGTGGAGCGGTTTCCAGGCTGGAACGAGGTCACCATTGCCAATCTGCATAGCTTGTTTCTGCTCTTCGACAACCAGTCAAATGGAATGTTGGGACTTGACGATTTGTCAGTTTTATTAATATTACTTAAATATTTTATGTATTTCTAATCGTTTACAAGTTTAAAAAAATCGGCAAATATCTGCAACTTGCTAAAGATTATCAGAACACTAAATATCACGGTATTTCATCAGGTGCCGCTTAGCACATGGGTTTGCATACGAGGCATCGAGAAGACACTTGATAAAAAAAAACTGGATTTAAACCTCCTCTGACCTCATGGAGAGTTCAGAAGCTGCTCTTCCCCAATATTTCTTAAATTGTTTTGTCTTTCGTTTGTAGCATGACACTAGATCTCTCTTAAATATTTCTAATCGTGTAAAAACATTGAAATAAGTAATCCTAAAATTGTTTCCGTACACGGAATATCCGTTCGTTTTGTATACGGAAGCATTTGGATATAAAAAAAAAAAAAAAACTTGGATATATATATATATATATATATATATATATATATATATATATATATATATATATATATATATATGTATATATAGCATCTGGATATAATTTCTCGGGAAGTCCGTAGGAAGATCGAAGGCCTTCGCAATATCCAAACTAACTGCCAATGATCACCAACTGATCAACCCTGACGAAAACCGTATTGGCGGTCCCTAATCAGCTGGTGATCCTCAAGGTACCGCATGAACTGGCAGGATGGTTGGACCCGGTAGGTTGCGTTGTTGTAGAATCTAGATATCACCCGTGCGAAGCCGGGGCAGATCGCTAGTAATAGATAAAATAATGTTTTTATATGTATAAGTTGTTATAGATCAGTTTCAGTATCTCTACGCAGCAGCTCTAGAACTTCCGGTGGAATTTGTTAATAGCTATATCATTTAAGGCGCTGTACTATAGCATGTGTGTGTTTGCATAATGTGTAAATAACATAACAACATACATAACAATTATTTTTAGTATGAAAGCATAAAAAATAATTAATAAGAAAAAAAATTCTATATATGATTCCGTTGTCCTTATATGTTTTTGTTTGCAGTTGTGCAGTTTTAGAAAGTCTAGGCGACGAAACGGCCATGGAGATACGAAAAGAGAAATTTAACGCAGCAGATACGGACAATGATGGCTGGATTACCTACGACGAGTTCTTATCTGTACGCAACTTAGAATATTTTTATGTTTTTGGTATAGGGATTTTTTTTATTGACAGATTACATTAACAGAATACATACGTCCAATAGGTGAGTGTTTACTTTTGGCAGAGGTTTCTAGAGCAGAGAGGAACCGCCGCGGTCTGGCTTTTTGTATATTTTGCAGCATGAATGAGTCGGCTCGATCGGTGTAGGACCACGCTCTCACAGAATGCCAGCGTAAAATAGCAGCTTAATGTTGCTATGTTTCTCATGGTGAATGTAGAGAACCGGAGACACTTTTTACTAGAAACGGGGCATATAATCTTAATCATCAGGGGTGACAACGCATTTGCATTTTAATTCTTAATTGAGTAAAAGTGTAGATGTCTATGGGCCACAGAATTCACTTACCATCAGGTGGACTGCGTGCTCGTTTTTCGTCGTCAATCTTTAAAAAAAAATCACACGTGCCTCCAAATACGCGAAGTCCCACGTCCCGGTCTTGAGACATGTAGGTCCCTTTAATAAATCCTTTAATAATTCTTATCTCTAGATAATTCTCCTTTTAGTTATGGTCGTTGATCTACCTAAAGAATGTTGGATTTTTAGTTCATAGGCTGGTATTTTTTCTTATTTTTTTAAATTCTTCTGGTTTGTCTGGCAGAGACTGCTATGTAGCAATGAGACCGCCTTTTGTTATTCCCTCAATATTTGTATATTTTTTTAATTATATTTATCTTTTCTTGATGTACAATAAAGAGTATTGTATTGTATTCTCTGTACCTTAAACTTTCACTCTTAACCCCTATGTGAGTAGTGTATATGGTGGTCTCCTTTCGTCCTATAGGGTGCATGAGTCGTTTTTTAGAAATTGTGTCTTAGCTAGGAAGAGAGCGGAACACCTAACCGACAAATTTTCTTTAAGTTATAACGGCCTATATGCTATTGAGCTATTTATTGACTAACGCCATTTATAACGTGATCTCATGGATTCTAGATCACTTTTTGTATAATTGGAACAAATTGTTTTTGTTCAAACCTATTTAGTATTTGAGAATTATTATCGAAGCCAAGCTATTATGTACTTAGCAGTTTAAAAATGTTTTGCTTCATATAGGTACATCATATTAGGTAGCTACACTATGTCTTTTTTTAATACAACTCCTATACCTATGGGATGCCATAAATGTTTATTAATACTTAGCCTTATATTTTTCACAGCTAGTTTACAACTTCAACCCTCAAGAGAAAGGCCAGCTGACGGGGTTGGCGCTGCTTTGCAACGAAGTTGCTGACAACATTCAATTCGTCAGCAATTTGACAGTTGGAGAGCAGTTGGAATATGGATTGTTTTAAATTTTATTTAAAGTATAGCTTAAAATTTACTCTTCATATTAAAAAATAAATAAAAAATGCGCTTTGACTTTAATTTACTAGAACTAGACTATAAGGTTTCCTATTTGTTTGATACACACATAGGTACGATTCCCTTACTTATTTCTGGAAAGAACACTTTACCACTAATATAATTACAAACTGTGAACTGCTCCCCTTCTGCTCCTTCAATTTTTAATCCTCAAAGGCGATAGTAGCTTACGTATAATCTTCTTTATTTGTAATGGTTGCAGTAAACTTTTAGTTAGTTTATCATTATAATGATGTGAAAAGTCATTACGTACATTTAAAGAAAAATCTTGTTAGCTCGGTAAAAATCTTTTAACATGGTTGTTGTCTGAGTGGGTCGGCTCGACCGGTGAAGGACCTCGCTCTCACAAAATAACAGCGTAAAATAGCATCTTCATGCTGCTGTTTCGTATAGCGAGTGTATGAGATTCGTATATGAGTGAGAGAACCGCAAAACTTTTTTAGTGGTAATGAGACATTCTTAGTCCTCTGGGGGGACAATGCTATACATTTTTGATTCTTAACCCTTATCCTGTCCTGTAACCCACATATGGGTAAATGGTGTCTGTAAATCGAATAGTAAAAGTGTTAATAGAGGATAAATGTAAGTGTCTATGTCTATGGCCTGCAGCACCTTTCTGCGTCTTACTATATCTTACTTCTGTACTCATTTTATACGTGGTAGAGTCATGCTGCAGCTATATTAGTAGTATAGTTGCAGCACAAATGGGTCGGCTCGACCGGGGAGGGACCACGCTCTCACAGAATACCAGCATAAAATTGCAGCATCTGGCGAGTGTAGAGAACCGGAGACCCTTCTTACTGGAAACAAGGCATTACATCTTAGTCCTCACGTATGACAACGCATCTGCATTTTGATTTGTAATCGAGGATAGATGTAGATGTCTATGGGTTATAGCAACCACTTACCATCAGGTGGACTGTGTGCTCGCTTGTCACCCTTATTCAATAAAAAAGCACATGATAGAGTACCGTTTTAAAAATAGTATACGACTACTAATCAAAGATATCCGCCAAGTCGAGCAAAAAAGCGGCACAGCCGTACCATAATTTTCTCGAAGCAGTTCAGGCCATTTTCGACCCCCTATAACTTCGTTGTGTATAAAACTAGAAGCCTGAATAATATATGATATAATAAAGGCAGGCATTGTATAGACACGGTATACGGTATATTCAAATTTCATTCAATTTGTACCAGTTGTTTAAGAATTATAACTAGTTAAAATTTCTTAATTTTGTCACTCACTGACTGACCGATCATTAAAACTCTAAGGCACTTCTAGTAAACATAGAGGCTTCAAATTTAGAAACCTATTAGAGTTTAGTGTATTAAATCAAGGAAAAACTAAAATATTTCGCAATTTCGGTCCGGTTTTCTAGATACACTAACTACATAAACAACACTAACTACATAAAAAACGTCTCCGAGTGCCGGGACAAACTTGTTTCTGAAGTCGAGTCTTTGCTCAACAGAGTCTCGGATTGGGGGCCGACTAAATCTACGAGTAGTCCAGTTCAACCCCCAGAAGACACAAGTTTGCGCGTTAACCGCTAAACTCTTTGTCGTATCTCCTCAGTTTCAAGGCACTCCCCTTGTTGCCTCAGCCAGTATCTCGAATCCTCACATCCACAGAATCCTCGGCGTCGACATATCGAGTGACGTGCAGTTTCATGGTCACTTGGAAGAGAAGGCCAAATTGGCCTCTAAAAAGGTTGGCGTGCTCAGCAGAGCGGGACAGTATTTCATGCCGGCACACCGCCTGCAACTTTACAAGGCGCAGGTTCGGCCGCACATGGAATACTGTTCCCATCTCTGGGCTGGGGCTCCCCAGTACCAGCTCCTTCCACTTGACCGCATCCAGCGCAGAGCGGCTCGAATCGTCGACGACCGAGTGCTTTCCGATCGGCTCGATTCACTGGCACTGCGAAGAGATGTTGCATCTCTTTGCATTTTCTTTCGCATATACCGTGGAGAGTGCTCTGAGGAATTGTTCGGATTAATCCCAGCCGCCAAATTTCGCGGCAAACGTCCCGATACCATCCACACCATCTGGATGCTTGGCGGTCCACCACTGTACGTTTCAAGGAGTTTTCTTCCGCGTACAACCTCTCTGTGGAATAGTTTACCATCAGCGATTTTCCCCGACCGATACGACCTGGGGACCTTCAAGAAAAGAGCGTACTCCTTTCTAAATGGCCGGCAACGCACCTGCAATTCCCCTGGTGTTGCGGTTAATCATGGGCGGCGGTAGTCACTTAACATCAGGTGAGCCGCATGCTCATTTGCCCCCTCTTCTATAAAAAAAACTTTGTTATCCCATATAAATATATAGGATTACAAAGTTACATTTACAGTGAATGAATCAGTGTACCTGTATATTATGTATAATAGGTGTAGATAGGTACGTTGTTGGTATTCAAGAAGTAGAAGGTACCGGAAAGGAAAAAGTAAGACTATCTACAAAAAGAAATGAGATGTCATCAAAAACATAACTTGTAAAAAACCCAAGTGTCGCAACTCAGTTCTTCTTCTACCAAGTCGGTTAATTTATTCAGTCCCTACTGAAGGGTCCTTCTCTTTTAAGTTATTGCGTAATTAGCTAACCTAATAACATCTTATAGTGACCATATCAATGTTAAAAATCCTTTATGTTTTAAATAAATAGATTGACTTGGCAATCGCACGAAATAATACTTCTGAGACACATTGTGTTTTCATGCGATGGCCACGTCAATCTATTTATTTAAAACATAAAAGATTTAATATTGACATGGTCACCATAAGATGTTGTTGGATTAGCTAATCAAGTAATAATTTAAAACAGAAAGACCTTTAAGTAGGGACTGAATAAATTAACTGACTTGGTATTACGTAGATCTCACAACTTTTTACGGTAGATGAACTGAGTTGCGAGACTTGGGTTTTTTTACAAGTTATGTTTTTGATGACATTTATATTACCGACCAGTTCAAAAAAGTGATTAATTGTTCCGTATGAAACCTTCACTATTTAAGCGTTTAAATTTTTCTTAGGTTTTGTTTTAGTTTCAACGAAATACAAAAAGTATCAGATATTTATTTATTTTGAGATATTTGAGAATGATAACAACAGTTAAAAATTATCTGATGATGGCGTTTTCAACTGACAATCTATAAATACAGCCGTAAACACGTCCCCTAGCATGACACGTAATGCCAAGTCTGATTGATAATGCTTACCGTGAGTTTGTACTGACGCGATTTTCACAAAAAAACATGTTTTAAACACTTTTTTTGTTTTCTGTCAATATATCAAAAAGCGTTTGCATAGTCAAAGAACATGTGGTAGTGAAATATGTTTGACAGTTTATCGTACATTACATATTTTAACTATATTATATCTTTATAACTAAAGTAACAAAATGTTTGAAAACAAATTTGTAGAAATATTGTCATGTTGAAAGATAAGTTTGAATATCCGTTGAAAATTTTACACAGTTTTTGTGAGTGCGAACGCCACCATCAACGAAACATATGTGATTTATTTTCTGCGATTTGTTTCAAAACATTACGTGTTGGATGTTCCTCAGTGCAAATGTACTGTTACGGGAACAAAAAGGTTTAGGTGATGTCGAGGTGTTGATTGTCTCAGTAGGCCGTTGGCTGGTCGTCGCTGAGCGAGTCGAGGTCACTGAGGCGCGTGAGTGCAGGGTCGCAGGCGAGGCAGCGCGCGCCCGCCTCGCTCCAACACTCGCCGCACCACGCGAAGCCGCACGTCGCAGAGTTACACCGGCGCCACGAACTTGTAGTCGCTAAAGCACCATATTATATTCGTAGGAGTTTGTACGTGGTAGACGCTGCGGCTACACCTGTTAAGGTATGTAGCAAAAATGGCGACTGCCGATCATGAGGTACGAGGTTCGAATCCCGGGTCAGGCCAAAAAATATTAATTATTGTGTTATTCCATTATGAAATTCTCAGTAGCTGCCCGGAGTCAGGAATTTGGTGGTGTCTCACCTCCGTGCCTCGGAAAGCACGTAAAGCCGTTGGTCCTGCGCCTGATCTCTCTTCGCTTGTGTCGATTTACCGTCCCGTTAGACCATGAGAGTGAGGGAATGGAGAGTACACCTGTGCTTGCTCATATACCTGGGCACTATAATTTTGTCCTGCGCTGAAGGCTAGTCTCCGTTGAGGCCGTGCCGTGACCAAAACTCGGTCTGGAGGACAATATATGTATGTATCTTGTGGCATAAATTTAAAGGGTAGATTAAAATGTAGCTCAGTGAATTATGTACTTAATTCAATAATAATAACTATCTCGACCGGAGAAGGACCACGCTCTCACAGAATACTAGCGTAAAATAGCAGCTTTCTGCTGCTGTTTCGTACCGGAGACACTTTTCACTTAAAACGAGGCATTCCATCTTCGTCCTCAGGTGTGACAACGTATTTGTATTTTGATTCTTAGTTAAGAATAGATGTAGAATGTAGATGTCTATGGGCTACATCAGCTACTTACTATCAGGTGGAACGTGTGCTCGTTCGTAAACCTTATTCCATAAAAAATAAGTTTAGGGCCTATTGCTGAAGCATGATCAGTACAATTTTAGGGTCTGATGGACCACGACGTAATTTCTGGGCCTGAAAATTAAGACGAACTATTGTGCGCCTAACTCACTTGAATTACACCGTTTCTAAAGAAACTGACGAAGCAAATAGTAGCATGCAGAAATAGAAATATAAGAGGAATCACTAGAATTCTAACGATTGTATGTACGTTCACCAAAAGTTCGCCGCTTATTTTCCTCATCCAACTTAAGCATTAACGACTAAAACTACCCTGAGAACCTTAGGCAGCCGTCGGAGTAGAACCTTAGACTGCCTCGACCGTTTAGTCTAATATTCAGTTCAGAGTAAAGGAGCTATTTTGATTATGATAATGAAGTATTTAATAGGTAATATGAGATTTTTTGAAAGAGTATTCTTTGGTGTTTAAGGATGGGTGTAAGTACATTTTGATGCATTGATTACAGTTTTTTAGAAAAGACAAGTGTATGCGCAAGCACAGGTGCACTCTCTATTCCCTCACTCTCATACTCCGATGGGACGGTCAACCGACACGACCGGAGAGAGATCAGGCGCAGGACCAACGGCTTTACGTGCTTCCCGAGGCACGAGGGTGAGACTGCCAACTTCCTGACTTCGGGAAGCTACTGAGAATTTTTTGACGGAAAAACTCAATAATTAGATTTTTTGGCCCGACCAGGGATTCGAACCCAGGACATCATGATCAGCAGTCGCACTACAACAACCACTAGACCAAAGAGGCAGTCATTCTTATTATTACTACTGTTAAAAAGTTCTTTATCCCAATTTATTTTAAAGAATTTCAAGCTAATACTTCACACTTTCTTGTGCCACATGTCTAATTTACACTATCTGTTTAGAATTCTAGTAAAGGGCGTTCTTGCTATAAAATAATATTTTTATACTTACTCATATTTCTAGGTTCAGTTTCCCCACAAATAAGGCAAGGCATCCTAGCAGCTGGCAACACTGTAAGCCAGCCAAGAAGTCTAGGGAACCTCATTCTCAAACTACGCAAATTTTCTCCGGACAAGTAATGTGCGCGTACCGCCTGCAAAGCCTTTCTTCTGAGTGTTTTCTGCATTTTCATTCGTTTTTTAAGAATATCGTTATACAAATGCAGTATTCGCTGCTTCTCTCGGCGTGGGTAGAAGTAACTACATATTAATCTAAAATCACAATACCAGTTAATATTATATCATTTTCATTTTTTTCGTGGTAGAGAGCCACGCCGCAGCTATTTTTTATTTTATTTTATTTATTAAGGAACAGCAAACAGCCACAAAATACAGTAATATCCAAAATACAATAACATGATGTATTCACCATGTTGTAGCCCACAACGCTATCCACATATTACTTCCAATGTTAATTAAATTGTCGCGAACGCTGAATAAAAACTTAATAACTAAAAACTAAAAAAACAAAGAGCTAAAATAATATTATTTTTACGCTTTTAGTTTTACAAACATAGATTTTTTAAAAGTAAGAACATTCGGTGTAAACGTAATATATACATTCGGTATATTATGGTTGTAACATGAATGGGTCGGCTCGACCGGGGAAGGACCATGCTCTCGCAGAATACCAGCGTAAAATAACAGCCTAATACTGCTGTGTTTCGTATGGTGAGTGTAGAGATCCGGAGACCCTTTTTTACTGGGAAAGAGGCATTCCATCTTAGTCCTCAGGGGTGACAACGTATCTGCGTTTTGATTCTTAATCGAGGATAAATGTAGATGTCTATAGGCCACAGCGTCCACTTACTATCAGGTGGACTGTGTGCTCGTTTGTCACCCTTATTCTATAAAAAAAAAAAATCAGTAATTGCCTATACTCTCACGACTTGAAAAGACCTGCCATGTTTAAGAAGATGACGGATCCTTGGATCATACCATGTGCTTGTGCATATCATATGGTTAAAGTTATAGCAAATCAAAAAAAGTTTTGGAGCGTTGTTGGCGGACTTTATGTCTTAGAAATATGTTTACTTTTAATTTTTAATTTTCCACACGTGCAGGTTACGTCACGATGTTTCCGTTCCTGCGCAAATCAGCACAATTGTAATTAACAATTTCATTGGTGCCGATAGGGATAGGTCGCGTTTTGTTTGTGTACAGTGAAATTTACGGCGAGCGTTTAACCTTCGAGCTATCCCGGATCCTTCGTCCCTGAGTTACGACGGAATCGGAGCCCCTAAGCTTCTACGGATCTCCTGTGTATGTTAGCAAACAACTTCCTTGAAATATTTTTAAAGGCTTGTCTCTAATCTTATTATTGAAGGTAATTAACTGAAATCTATCGTCATTCGTCATATTAATTATTTAGCTGTAATGTAAAAAATGAGAAAAAGAACCTTCTAAGCCTTAACGTGTAAGGGTTTAAATACAGCAACAGCAGAATCCACAAATACCCACAGTAGATCTTGACAAAGAAGATAGTGGGCATTGCACTGGGTTGCGGCAAACAAGGTTTGTTCGTAACTGTACTAAGATAACGCGTCGTGTTCAAGCTGCTTAGCAGGTTTCGGATCATTGTAGCGACTGTACCATTACCTTCTACCTGTACAATCATATTATTTTCACTATATTTTTTAATAAAGTGCTAAAAATTCTGAATTAAAAATTCTTCAAATGTAATGAATTCTATAAAAATTGGGTAAGTATATTTAATTACTAGAAGCAAAAAACGAAATAGCAATCCTAAATTTACTTCAATTTCTAAATCCCTTGTTCCTTGTTGTGTCATTTCACTGCTTGCGTGCTTTCGCACGACGTCTAAAGCTTCGAAAAACAGACGGTCTAACATGATGAAGGTAGTCGCTGTGACCACTTCCAGCATCACCTTGAGGATTGGTGTAACCAGCTTGCTACGCTGCGACGATTTGTACGCAAAAGAGTGGACATCTATGTATTTGTTGCGTTCCATCTAAAATACAGACAAACAATACAGTACAGAATAAAGAAAGATTTAATTGGTCTGAATTAATATCTTTATCAGTTGTAGTCTTACAAAATTTAAATTAACAGCGTATGAAAATAAAATATTAATGACAAATGTATTTGGTTATATATCACTAATAAAACTTAAATAAGTCTGGTTCCAGATGAGAAGCAGGGGTGGACCGTGAATTTGTGGGGCCCTGGACTGAGGACTGAGGGACTGAACACTACTTGGGGCTCTACCAAATTAATCAAAAAACTGTTTTATATGTGATTTTCTATATAATGACATATACGGTGTGGAAAGAATGTTATATAACTTAAATATTATACAAACAGCGTCCGTAGGTCATTATTGCATAAGAAATTAACAGGTTATGTATGTATATATGTATATATATATACTACAAACTTCCATTTAGCACGATCCTGACATACCTCTCTCGCCTCCTCCACAATCCACATCCATATACCTACACATACATGCTCATCGGTTAAGAGTACCCTTAATTTGGCCCTTTTTTAATATATTGCCAATTTGGTCGACAAAATTTTGCCTAGGCCCTAGGACGTTCCTTGCCGACTCTTTCATTCACTTCTGCAACATAAATTTTCTTTGTCAGTCTTTTCTCATTCATTCTTTCTACATGACCAAACCACTGAAGCATTCTTTTCTTAATCCTGGTCACAACATCATCTTGCAAACCACACTCTTCTTTTATCACACAGTTTCACACCCTGTCATTCAGATTCAGCCCTAACATACCCTTTAACGACCCCATTTCTACTGCATTTATTCTACTCTCGTGCTTCTTCTGCCACACCCAACTTTTACGTGAATTGCCATACGTGCCTTATTTTACACATTCTGACTTTTCACAATAGAGTGTAGAGCCCCATTTACTTTATTTCTTGCATTCACTCGTCGTTCAATATCCTTATCATATCTCCCATCCCTGCTGAATACGCATCCCAAATATTCAAATTCAATATACAAATTCATCTACTTGCTCGACCATCTCCCCTTCCATTCTTATTTGACATATTGTTTTACTTTCTTCTCTTTCGAAAATCATAACTTTCGTCTTACTTGCATTCACTTTCATTCCCCTTTCTTTTAATGACCTGTTCATTAATGTAACTATCATTTGCAACTCGGCCGCCGATGACGCAAGTATGACTTGATCATCGGCGTACAAAAGGTATTTGACGGTTAACTCATCCATTCTTAACCCGCATTCTTCAACTTTAAAATTTTACAAACAACTGTCCATAAATAGGTTGAACAACCACAGTGAAGCTACACAGCCTTGTCTTGACACCTTTATAGATGCCAAACTAGTCCGAGTAGACCCCGTTAATCCTAAGACAAGCACTTGAGTTCCTATATAGAGACTTTAATGCCTGTATCAACCCAGCGCTCAACCTAAATGAGTTCAGCGTTTGCCATAATACATCCCTGTCTACTCTGTCATAAGCCTTTTCCAAGTCCATGAACGCACAAAAAACTTTTTAGTTTTTCGCCAATAACTTCTCCGCGATCATGCGCATGGAAAAGACTTGATCTGTACACCCCTTTCCTTTTATTAATCCCGCTTGCATATCCCAAATTTTTCCATCAGTTTCTTTCGTAACTCCTTCAATTAGTACCTTAGCATACATTTTTCCCACAATGCTAAGAAGGCTGATACCACGGTAGTTTTTACAGTCCTGCAACGACTCTTTTTTTTATAGAAGAGGGGGCAAACGAGCATGCGGCTCACCTGATGTTAAGTGATTACCGCCGCCCATGATCAACCGCAACACCAGGGGAATTGCAGGTGCGTTGCCGGCCTTTTAGAAAGGAGTAAGCTCTTTTCTTGAAGGTCCCCAGGTCGTATCGGTCCGGAAAAATCGCCGGTGGTAAACTATTCCACAGAAAGGTTGTACGCGGAAGAAAACTCCTTTTGAAACGTACAGTAGTGGACCGCCAAGCATCCAGATGGTGTGGATGGTATCGGGACGTTTGCCGCGTAGTGCGTTCACGAAATTTGGCGGCTGGGATTAATCCGAACAATTCCTCAGAGCACTCTCCATGGTATATGCGAAAGAAAATGCAAAGAGAGATGTTGCAACATCTCTTCGCAATGCCAGTGAATCGAGCCGATCAGTAAGCACTCGGTCGTCGACGATTCGAGCCGCTCTGTGCTGGATGCGATCAAGTGGAAGGAGCTGGTACTGGGGAGCCCCAGCCCAGAGATGGGAACAGTATTCCATGTGCGGCCGAACTTGCGCCTTGTAAAGTTGCAGGCGGTGTGCCGGCATGACATACTGTCCCGCTCTGCTGAGCACGCCAAGCTTTTTAGAGGCCAATTTGGCCTTCCCTTCCATGTGACCACGAAACTGCACGTCACTCGATATGTCGACGCCGAGGATTCCAATACTGGCTGAGGCAACAAGGGGAGTGCCTTGAAACTGAGGGCATACGACAAAGGGGTTCTTTTTAGCGGTTAACGCGCAAACTTGTGTCTTCTGGGGGTTAAACTGGACTAGATTTAGTCGCCCCCAATCCGACACTCTGTTCAGCAAAGACTCGACTTCAGACACAAGTTTATTCCGGCACTCGGAGACGTTTTCCCGAGAAATATTGGCTCGACCGGTGTAAAGAGCAACCGGATTGCAACATATCTTGATATGCAGAAGAAACAGCGTTGGCGATAGCACGCAGCCCTGTGGAACACCAGCACTAATAGGCTTGCAATCGGAGCTTGCACCGTCAACAACGACCTTGATGCTCCGATCTGCAAGAAAGCTGGTGATCCAATCGCACAATTTCTCGGGAAGCCCAGGAGGAAGGGAGCTTCGAAAGAAGCGCTTTGTGCCAAACCCGATCGAAGGCGCAATGTCCAAACTAACGGCCAATGCCTCCCCCTTGGACTCTACTGCCTCCGCCCATCTGTGAGTTAGGTAGACCAGAAGATCACCAGCTGACCGTATAACCGTATTGGCGGTCACTAATCAGCTGTTGATCCTCAAGGTACCTCATAAGCTGGCAGTTTACAATGGACTCCATTGTTTTGGAGAACAAGGAGGTGATGGCGATCGGCCGGAAGTTGGACGGGTCTGAGCGGTCGCCTTTTTTAGGGATCGGGTGGACGAAAGCCGTCTTCCATGATTTTGGGACTACGCCTAGGGAGTAGCAGTACCGGAAAAGACGCGTTAAAACCGGTGCCAACTCTGGAGTACACGTCCTCAGCACAATTGGAGAGATTCCGTCAGGCCCACTCGACTTGTGGATGTCCAGGGAGAGAAGTGCTTTGCGAACCGAGCGCTGTGTTAACTGCACTTCCGGCATGGAGCACTCACACCACGGGATGGTCAGCGGCGTACTCCCTCCGTCATCGAGAGTCGAGTTAGACGCAAAGAAAGAGCCTAGAAGATCGGCTTTCTCCTTTGCGGTATGGGCCAGTGAGTCATCCTCCCTGTGCAGAGATGGAAGAGATGGCTGACAGAAATTCCCCTGGACAGCCTTGGCGAGAGACCAGAATGCACGGGTTCCAGAAGGAAGGCAAACTAGTTTCTCGCCAATTCTGCCTATGTGCTCTGACTTTGCCTTGGCAATGACTCTTTTGAAGGACCTAGAGGCGGAATTATACTTCTTTTTTAGAGCGCTGGTATTTACATCCCGGGACGCTGATGCGTCAGCCCAGGCCTGGTAGCACTCCTGCTTATAGCATGATGCTATTTTACGGGAGCGACCAAACCATGGCTGAGATTTGCCTCCAATGGGCACCACAGAGGAAGGAATAAAAAGTTCCATACCCTGAAGTACCACATCAGCGACAGAATCCGCAACAACGTTGGGATCGTCCGGCGAGAAGCAAACCCGCCCCCAAGGGTAGGATGCAAAGAAAGACCGCATCCCATCCCAATCGGATGACCTATAGTGCCAAACACGGCGGCAGCCTGCATAATGCAACCGCGATTTCAGCGTGAGTGGCACCACACTCCGGACAAGACAATGGTCCGAGGAGCCTAAACGGGCGTCGACGGAAATCTGATATCCATCCGGGTGAGAGGTCAGCAGAAAGTCCAACACGGACGGTGCATGATCCTCCACATCTGGAATCTGCGTAGGCGAAGTAATCAGTTGTGTCAGACCATATGCCAAGGCAAAATCATGAACAGATCTCCCCGCATGATCGGTTAAACGTGAACCAAGCCATTCGGCGTGATGGGCGTTAAAGTCGCCGAGGATCACGATCTCTGCGGAGGGGATCTCCTGTAGCAACGACTCTGCAGCCATTTGGACGTGGTCGAAGAGTCGGTCTGTTTCGGCATTACCGCTATAGGACCTATAAAGGCACCCGTAGACACGCGGATGATCGTCGCTGTCTACGCGTAGCCAAAGGATGGACAGGTCCGAACCTTCAAGTCTGCCGAGGCGTCGAGAACAGATGTCCTCTCTGACGTAAACGCAAACTCCAGCCCGAGGCAAAAAGGAGTGTTCCAGTTTGTATCCGGGTAGGATAGATACGAAAGATCAGCCGGAGAGGACACCTGCGTCTCGGTCAGAAAGAGCAGAGCCGGTCTCGCCGTCTCGAGATGGTAGTGGACGGCGTTTAGGTTAGAGTGAAGTCCCCTGATATTACAGAAATTCACGGACAGCGTGGCAGGGGTCGCCTTGGTCTTGTTGCTCCATTTGCCCCGAGCAGTTGTAGTCGTGAGCGGAATTTTGCCCCCCCCCCCCCCCCAGAATACGCGGGGCAGCCTGAGCACCCACGCTCAGAAGTGGAGAAACATGGTCGTGGATGCTCAGCGAGGGATTCTCCAGGGGTACTGGTACCCTCCTGGGGTAGTCTATCATTTAATTCCGCTACCATGTTGATGGGGGGGGGATTTGGGCCCCCGGTCACCTGCACTCACCAGACGAAACGCGAAAGCGGAGCTTCCACTTCACGCCGGTATTCTGTGAGGTCGCGTTACCACCCCGGTTCGAGCCGGCCCATACGTGCAACAGCAAAGCTGCCGCGTGGTTCTACCACTGTTAAAACCACTTTTCCCTTATATATTGGGACTATCACGGCATTGCACCAGTTTCCTGGTACCCGCTTTAGTTCTCAAAATAAATTAAACAAGGTGTACAGCATGCCTGCGATCACTTCCTCTCCAGCCCTTAGCATTTCCAGTGAAACTCTATCATATCTGGCTGCCTTACCAACTTTCATGCTTTTCATTGCTTTAATTTTTTCATCTATACTTATCTCCCTATCTCTTTCATCTTCTTTCGGAATTTCTATTTCATTTCGTTCATCACTTCTCCTCACTCATATATACGCCTTACTTAAAAAATCAATCCTTCCCTCAAAAATATTCTTTCCATCTCTTTAGACTCAAGATTACAGCCATTCTCGTCTCGTATCGCATTCAATCTAGGCTGTTTTGAATGTCTCCCGGTAGTTCTTACTAGTTTCCAGAACATTTTAATATTTGCCCGGAAATTATCCGATATTCTTCTATCATTATTATCCGTTCTTTCTTGCTTTTTCTATTCAACAAATTCTTTTACTTTCTTATTTAGACGTTTAAACTCTGCCTTTTTTCTTTCCATCTCATCATTCATACCGCCAGAATTATCAGCTTTGGTTGCTAGTAAATCTAGACATGCTCTCCATTGCTTCAACTTTCATAAGTACCTAATCATCCCACCATAACGTATTGTCTTACCTTTTATTCGTTCTCTTATTAACACCACATACTTCGGTAGCTGCATCCACTAAACCTTTCTTAACATTATGCTACACATTCTCGAAGTCGAACTAATTCACACACAATTCATCCAGATCACTTATATTTTCTCTCAGTCTACATTTGTACTTGTCTTTCACATCTTCATCTCATAACCTCTCTATCCTAATACGCTGTAACGCAGTGGTAGACACAGATGTCCGATGCCGCCAACGTCTGAATAAACCCTTAATTCGGCATAAGACCAGGTAGTGGTCCGTACCTACGTCGGACCCCCGGTAAACCCTTGTATCCACCACTGCGCTCCTCATTCTTTCATCCACAGTTATGAAATCTATCATGCTTCTATCATCACCTCTTTCCCACGTATACATGTGAATCTTCTTATGACGAAATAAATTGTTCGTCATAAAAATATTCTTTTTCACACATACGGTGAGGAGGCTTTCGCCATTATCATTTATGTTTTCATCACCAAACATTCCCAACGTCTTTTCATAGCCAAGCCTCCTCACCCCAAACCTTCCATTAAAATCTCCTAACATAACAACCTTAGATTTCTTTAACACCATCCTTACCATTACCCCAATACTGCTCCCGGATATAAGTGGGCTTAGACATTTCTGGGGCGTAGACCCCTAGAACAAACAACTTACTTTCATTCGAATCTGTAGCAGTCTCGGACTTACACATTCATACTCTTGCACTTGAAAGGATGATACCGACTCCATGGGATGCCCGCTCGGTCTCGTCTAAACCGGACCAGTACGCGGTATACGCGCCATGTGTAGAGACATCCTTTCCCTTCCGCTTTATCTCATTTACACATAACACATCTATTCTTCTATCATATATCATATCGCATACCTCATCCATCTTATCATTCATTGCTCCAGATACATTCAGAGTAGTTAGATGGGCCTCCGCAATCCTCTTTTCACTCCTCCAGGAGACAGAACGTGACGGGTGGCGAACCTCGTCGCCGGTTTTCATCAGCATGTTAATAAATTATATAAACTTTTTTAAATTTTTGCGCTGCAAATTCCTTTATTAGCTCACCCCATTGTCAGTCTTTTTTAAAATCGCAATATATGGAAAGAACTGATAAATTATTTGGTCGATTGTTCAACATTGTTGACCTATATTTGGTTTTCTTTATACGACATCTTGGAGGAACAGAGCTCCGCTTCACAGGTAGTGCTTTAAAACGTTAAAAACATATAAAATAGTAAAGCAATTTGAGAAAATATCCACAAGTCTCTCTTCATTGATTAGCATACACATTTCACTGCAAGAGGTGTAAGACCCTAGCTAAGACTTTAGTAAGATTTTAACCGGATTCACTCATTCACTAAGTGTTCGTCTACGCATCTGGATAATAATCAATTACATTACGTAGGTACACTATCCAGATCTGTGTTTATCATAGTGTTCCTGCAAATCCATTAAAAATTTGAATTTGTTATAGACTTGGCATCTTCTATTTAAATCCAAAACAGCTTATCAGACGCAACGTTTAGCGTCTCTTTAAAAATGTTGACTCTTTTGACTTTGGATGAAAATTTTGAAGTAATCGTTTGTCACTTGTTTATGTCACTGTATTCTGCTCCCACTCTAGCTAGTATTTAAGTTTTTAGCTTTCTCTTTGTATATTTTTAATTTTTGATTCGATTGGTGTCGTACGTTACTTACGAACTCTTTTAATGACATAATTAACTTGTTGCCTTTACACTCTCTAGAATTTCTTCCAAAAAGTAGTATCGAGTTTAGCCACTTCATTAAATAAATTTCGTGCCTCTTTTGGAATATTAAATTTATTATCCTCATTTCCACTAAAACTCATGAAGTTTTCACAATATCATCATAATTATTTTTGAAGCTTTGACAGTTATTGCCTTCACTGGGGGCTAGGGACCCTTTATGCCCACGGGCCCTGGGATAGCTGCCCAAAAAGCCTTTATGTAGATCTGCCCCTGATGAGAAGCATACGTTCCTGTGTCCCTCAACACGCCAGAACCTATTTTTTGCACTTAAGTAAACGTGATGAATGAACAACGCACAAAATGAAATTCTGTAAGTTAAACTATGTCTTAAACTATATCGTTACATACTTAAATGTAGCTATTTAATAATGTATGCTGAATAAAATGATAAGAAATTATCTAAATCGGGACATCATTCATGCTAAAGTTATATATTAATGAATTTAAATCCTATACAAGACTTTGCACTAAGTCCCAAGAGCCAAAATCAGTAGTAACCTTAATCAGCAGAAAATGGATTAGGACTAGTCTGTAAAGAGACTGGGATCTAACGACTCCAGGAATACAGGCCTGTTGAATACGTACTCGTACTTTGGGAAAGGACGGCAAAATAAAACGAGAATATAGTTGTGAGAATACATTTGCAATTTAAGAATATGATTTTTTCTTTTTTAATCTACCATTTCGAAGACGGTCAAACGTCTACGATGATAGTTAGTTTAAAACTCAACGTTGATACGATGATTTAAAATTCAATGTTGAGCAATTAAAGACCAAATTATTACCTTTTCATTGCAATATTACATAGTCTCTGGGTTTGTATGAACGTGGTGGATTTTTGTATAACAATGTGAAACTAATTAATACCTTTTTCAATGGTAGCAACGTATATTTATTCTTCAACTTCCGTCTTTGATCAATTTGCTTAAAATATGTAGTGATGTACAGGTTGTCGTATGTGATACTTGTGAGATACAGGTCGTGGTAACTCTGAGCGGCAAACAGAATGCGGAGAAGCAACAACGCGAGGCAGATGTTCACGACGCTGACCGCGTATTGCATGCTTGTACCTCTCTGTTCGAATTCGTGTAGTACTCGCTTGCCGGTCTCTCTCGCATCCTTTTAGAGGAATTTAGTAAATAAATCGACTGTATTTATTTATTTGTTTTATATTATATTGTTTTATGTTTTACTGCTGGGTACAGGTCTTAACTCATTTCTGAGAGGGTTTTAAAACAATTAGGCCGCGGCGCTAGCGCTACTCAAATGCGTGTTAAATATTTTATTTAACATGTATTCCTTTATTGAGGAGATATTAACGCGACTTCGCTCGCGTGTAATTTAGGGTCTTTTTTTTGCGCGGAACCCTGATTATTTTATAAAATAAAAATAGCATAAATTACTTCTTATAACATCAGCTCCTTATTCTGTCATCTACCTTAAACAATAAAATTTTGTAGGCATTTCTCTGGCTTTTACGATATATACGAGACGAAATTAAGTGATGGGTTTTATTCCTTTCATTCATATTATATTATAGTACCCGGATGACCGAGCTTTGCTCGTTTTTTTTTTTTGAAATTACATTTATAAATTACATACCGATGTAACATAAATAATATTTTTTGATCTTATTGACAGAATAGAAAAAACTGAATTGGTTATTTGAATAAAAAATAAAAATACGTGTGGCACTCGGTGACTGCCGCGGTAAAGCTATTGCATAGCATTTTTTTTCAACTTATGCAATTATAATTATTTATTTATTTTATTTATGCAGTTAAGTCTTTGATGTTAAATCAAGTTACACTTTTTGAGCGTGGTGACCGATAAGAAAAAATTTTTTTCTCTTATTGAATAAATGAGAAGTTAATATTGTTTAAAATATTTTTAATATCTTACAATACATGTAGGTTATTCAGGAATTTTTATCATTGAGTTAGCAGCTAGTGTACACGCATACGTCTAGTCGCACGCACACAAACACCGTGCCGAACTCTGCCGAGTGCCGAAGTCTGCCGAACTGAAACGACGTTAGACGATGCACGGCTTTCAACGCCACACCTTCGTGCCCGTCGGAGTGGGGAGCGTGAGGTTTTTTTCGTTACGGAATTTCTGGATTCGGTCCCCGCGCTCAAGGCCCGCGATAGAAGCTATGCAATAAATAGCTTAATAATGAGTGCAATTAGTTTTATTAAAATTTTCGTATTTTTAAAAAATACTAAAAAAGGGCTTGAAATAATAGATTTTCTCACAAAAATAGGGAACCTGAAAAAAAAAGGAAAAAAGCCGGACCAGAGACAGCACGCGAACCACGGAACTCCGATATCTGAGCTATTACGATCGTTAGTGATCAGTCGAAATTTACCTTCTTATATTGTAGCAGTATTTTTATTACCTGAAAACACGTACAAAAGTTTCTAAAAATAAATTCTAGCTAGATCGATTTATTTCCCCCGAAACTCCCTGGACACTAAATTTTATGAAAATCGTTGGAGCCGTTTTCGAGATTCCGATTACATATATATATATATATATATATATATATATATATATATATATATATATATATATATATTGAAGTGTCTGTTTGTAATGTCAAAATAACAGCTATTTACTAAATGCATGTAAAAGTATATACGGTGTTACTAACGAAAACAAATTTTTTTAAATTTTGGTCTGTTTGTTTGTTTCGGCTAATCTCTGAAATAGCTGAACCGATTTGGACGGAACTTTCACTATATATAGAGCTAGCTGATGTTATAAGGAGTAACTGAGGCTACTTTTATTTTAGAAAAAATTAAAAACCATGAAACTAATCGCAACAAATTACACGCGGTTGAAGTCGCGGGGAACAGCTAATATATTACAAAGTACCTACCTACTATTTTCTAAGACCTCAGGCACCAGCGATCTTATTTATTATTATTGATTGGATACGATCTGGTAAACTTATTTTTATTGATTTTATCGGGTTTAATTTAACCTTTTTCACGGTCACGGAGGCTGAGGTACTTGACGTCCGAATGTAATAAAGTATTTGACCCGAGCTACCGATAGGAGTAATAGTGTTCTGTGCGAGCTACACTCAGCGTTTTGTCGGATCCACGCAAAAAGAGCTCACTGTATTTTGAAACTTAACGATCTGTAACCGTTATAACCGTTACCGTTACAGCCTATTAAAGTCCACTGCTGAACATACCCCGCCCCCCATAGATTGGCTCAGAGGGAAAAGGGGATATTTGTTATAGTCGCCACTCGCCACGCTGGACAAACGGGTTAGAATCGCAGAATTTTATTTTTAGTCGTTATTCGGAAGACGCTGCTATAAACGTTATCTGTGATAACCCGACTATAAAAGTTATCTGTGGAACGTGACTGTAGGGCGACAAACTTGAAGATACAGGGTTTATTCTGTATAGATCGAACCAAAATCCCAAGTACAGTTTTAAGTACCTATTATGTAAGTTAAAAATAATTGAGTCTTTTAAATTTTAACTTTATTAATTAAGTTCCCAGTTTTATTTACAGTAAAAATTCCCAACCGTATTAATAAATAGCTAAATGGTATTTAAATATTGTAATCCAACAAACCTGGACATTATACAGCTCTTTTTCATAAGTAACCTTACACTGTAATTTAACATCATTTATATTCTTCAAAAGTTCTTCTTTCAATTGTTTTAGAGAGTAATATCCCTCTCCTAAACCAGGGTCAATCTGCCAAGAAGGAAAATAAATTATTTCTGCCCTTACTTATTTTTGTTGCTTCTTTTTTTATCAGGGTATAATAGTCCGCTGCTGAACCTTTTCAACTACAGCAAGGATCCCCAATATTCGCTACGCTCTACAGGCCTCTGCTCCTCGTCCCCAGTCTAGGTATTTTACTACTGCTGCACTAATAAGGACATGGTTTTTGATCATTATAATTTCAGTAGACGGGACGGTTGGTATTTATGTTTTTATCGTATGGTTTTTACGTGGTAGAGCCACGCTGCAGCTATATTATGGTTGTAATAAGAATGGGTCAACTCGACAGGGGAAGGACCGCGCTTTCACAGAATAAAAGTGTAAATAAAATAGCAGCTTAACGTTGCTGAGTTTCGTATGGTGAGTGTAGAGAACCGGTGAACCTCTTTTTCTGGTAACGAGACATTCCAACTTAGTCCTCGCGGGTGACAACGCATCTATATTTTGATACGTAATCGAGAGATGTAGATGTCTACGGACCACAGTAACCACTTACCATCTGTGTGCTCGTTTGTCATCCTTATCATATAAAAAAATAAGTCGAAGGCAATAAGGTCTTTCTGTCTATTTCATAGATGCCTCTTACGACATCCACGGAATGCAATGGCATGGATATTCTCACGCCGCCACCACTTAGCAAATTTTTTTATGGCCTTTGATAGAGTAAGAAAGTTCATTAACACATCTCGTCCCGAGTGAAAAGAGTCCGCTATGGGAAGATTGAATTGGAATGAAATGGCCTTTAATAAATAGCGGCAATGGAATTACTTATCGATTTGTGTAAGTTTGTATATCAAGAAGCCAAACTAGCACATAGTCGACGTGGATGAGCCAGAGTCATAAACATCTACATCTGTTTTCGAAAAACAGTCAAAATGTAGATTAGTTTATGGACTAACATGAAATACCTTGTTACCAGTAAAAAGATTCCTTGATGCTCATCGAACACAGTGGAAACCAATGGGCTTGGTGTAGTTTTGTAGCCCACACGACATAATTACAATATTAAAGTTATGAATAAGAGCATGGTCATAATACTACACACTTCTTACAGACTTTTAAGGTTTTGTTTTCTAATACTACCAGTTACTCGACTCCACCGATTCAGTATTTCATTCTTGGGGTGATGTATACGCTTTTACAACAAAAAGTTAGAAAATGTACAAAATTTGACCTGTACAAAGTTCAAAAACTTTATAAAACTAAGTTTAAATGAAAAGGGAACCAAGCTATTTCAAATTTGTTTTATGTTGTAACATACATGATTGTAAGCTGTTATTTTGTTTTAAAGCCCCGCTGGGCTACTTGCTGGTTCTTCACCACCAGTAGAAAATTAAAAAAATGACTTTCAATAAGTATCATTTATAATCTATATTGAAAAAAGTTTTTGTTTCTCTTTCTGTTTGAATTAATGTTACAGTGGTACTTTTACACCGATTCAATCGAGCTCCAGCGTGGCTCTAACACATAAAATGTATTTCATTATTAAAGTTTTATACTTACTATTAGACTTACGCCACAAAATAAAGAGCTTACGCTTTGCTTATCACATGGAAATGAAGTGACGACGAGACGCTGCGCTGTTTACAATGTTATTACTATGGTTTTCTAAATTAATGAAAACATTGTATCTAAGTTTTACCTGTTCCTTTCCATTGCATATATCAGGCGAATCAATAAAGTGCATAATATTGCATGCAAATTCAACTGTTAACGGATAGCATAAAGTTTTTGCAGCATACGCGGGGGCAGCACGACAGCAGGCTTCATACGCTGAGTCAAACATCTCCACACATTTAAAAATGCCTTGCGTTATTTGATTCTCACATCGATACTCAACTTTCTTGAGATATTCATCCTGGTACAGATCCTTCTTTATTTTGGTCGTCGTTCTACAAAATTGATTAATTTCGACTAAATTCTAGTCGGTTCTATACACAACCCCACACCCCATATCACCTGTGAGTGTCGTAGGAGGTCACAAAGGGAAAAAAAGAGGATGGATAGCATCATATTCAAGATAATAACTAATATATTTAAAAAAAAACTATCCCGTCTGCAAATTGTGGTAAATGTATTTTCATTCAGAACTTTAGCATTCGCCAGGGACACAAAAACTAAGTTTTTCGTAGTGTTCTCAACCTAAGTAGTTGTTAAGAAGACTACCGATCGACCACTGTTGTGAAGCATTTAGTAGTAGACTATCGCAACAACACAATGAAAATAAAGAATGAAAAAAATACTTAATAAACGAAATTATATAAAAAACCAGAACTTAATATTTGCGATGAATTTTACTGATTTTATACTGTTTTAATGATTTTTCTTTTCTTTTCTTTTATCTACATAGCGTCATGCGTGTAATCCCAGAGAGGGTAAGCAGAGTCCAAGCTTAATCTAAAAAACATTAGTTTAGATCACAGAAATCGTAATACTAAGACAATAGAAGTCGCATAGACGCGTGACCTTGTCGCCGCTATTATGTGTTAACGAACATAATTCACCATTTAGTGATTTAGTTGCGCGGGGAACGTCGTACGTGAATTTAAGTTATTATAAATTTATAATGGTGAACTGCAGCATAATCAGTTGTAAAAACTCATCAAGGACGTATAATTCAACTAATAAAGGCATAACATTTCATCGGTAAGTTGATTATTTACTATTTAACATTCTTTTAACTTATTTACATCTAGATCTAGACTTTACTATGATATTTACCTTTGTAAATTTAATTTATTATTTTTCGTATTGTGCAATTACCGTTAAGTACTGATTTTGTTCTACCTTAATACTCGTACGCGACGCACGCGACGTTGACAAACTCGCTAAGCAATGAAATGTGAAACATTAGATATCATTGTGCATTGCGTATGTTTATAATACGGTAAGATGTGGCATCGGTTTTGGAAGTAATCGAGCGCTAATTCATTTCTGTTGTCTTATTATTACGATTTCTGTGGTTTAGATAAATGTAAAATTGTGAAAAAAGCGATAGTTGACGCCTGCTTAATCACAAATACAATATCCCATTAGTGGCCTCTTACGATATGTTAGGCAATTTAGCACACACATAAACCTGGGACACTTACAACTTCTTTCTTTTAACTATCTCATAATTTCGTACGATTTAATTTTTCCTTTTCCTATTCTGTCTAATGACTAGAGATGGGCCGAATATTCATTTTATATTCGGTATTCGGCATATTCGGCAGCTTTACCGAATATTCGTATTCGGCGAATATTCGGCTAAATCACCGAACATTCGTTTTCATAGTGTCCAACGTATTGAAATGTACGAATTGAGTAATGCGATGTCTTTTACTGTTGCAAGTGTATTTTATGTATGGGTTAAATCTACTTACTCTAGAGTGCCTCAAATGCATAAATCTATACATTTATGTTTTTGAGGCACTGTAGATTTATTTCCGATTATGGCAAATAGAAACTTGATAAAATGTTTATGGAATCAAACAAAGAAACATTACATTACATTAGTCCATTTCACTTTACTTTGGTCGTCAGTTTCTCTAACATAAGTCCAAATAGTAAATCTCCTGCCGCTAATTTTTATCATAAAATTATCAATTTTCATTAAGAATAAAACAACGAAATACTTTTTTATCACAAAAAAAGTCAAAACATAAGCATCTGCCGGCAATTTGCTCAGTACTAGATGATGCAATAACTGTCAGGTGTGGCGGGGAGTGAGAGGCAGGGTCCGGCGCTAATCCCGCACGCTTTACGGTAACAAGTTTCGACATAAATTGGTTGGGTACCGAGGTGATCCTGCCGAATAATGTTCGGCCGAATATTCGGTTCGGTAAAATTTTTACCGAACATTCGGCCGAATATTCGTATTCGGTGAAATCCATATTCGGCTCATCCCTACTAATGACAACATTCAAGACTTTGGTAATAGCGTCTACTTTTAGAGAAAACGCATTTATGTTACGAACTGGTATTTCTTCTCGATTTTCTCGGATCGACGTTTGTTGCCAAAAAAATCATCCACGATATCACTTTGTTGTACAATCTGTTCCAACTCTTTCGATGTTTCTATTTCATTTTCAATCGGCGTTGTAATTTGATCGATGGACCTTGACACAACCAAAATCCGCTTTAAAATTTTAAAAATTTATATTATTTCTATACGTAATTAAAAAATATTTTAGTATACCTCATTGTCATCAGTCTCAGACCAACAAAGAAAGACGGATGGAGCGCTGGGTACATTTCAAGCGATTCTGAACACATGCTCAACTTCTTGACACGCACTTTTCTTAAAAAATTCGTATGAGTTCACTACTGAACCCACGCAGATGCACTTATAACTAAAGTGGACCCTCGGTGATCCGGCCCCTGGCTAATCCGTCTCTCCCTGTAATACGACATGTCTTGAACTTGTAGGTAGATTCAAGTCACGCTATGTATCCGTCTACAGCAAATCCGACAAACAGGTTGCAATTAGTTCGCGATACCAGGAATCTAGCTTGACGCGTATTGTCTCAGTTAAGTGTGACTATGGTAGTTACTGCCTCGTTGGTCTAGTGGTTGTAGTAGTGCGACTGCTGATCATGAGGTCCTGGGTTCAAATCCCGGGTCGGGCCAAAAAATTAATTATTGAGTTTTTCCGTCAAGAAATTCTCTGTGGTTGCCCGGAGTCAAGAAGTTGGCGGTGTCTCACCCCCGTGCCTCGGAAAGCACGTAAAGCCGTTGGACCTGCGCCTGATCTCTTTCCGGTCGTGTCGGTTTACCACTCCATCGGATTATGAGAGTGAGGGAATAGAGAGTGCACCTGTGCTTGCGCATACACTTGGGCACTATAATTCTGTCCTGTGCCGATGGCTAGCCTTCGTTGAGGCAGGCCGCCGTGGCCGAAATTCGGTCTTGAGGACATTATTATTATTATTATTAGCGGCCTAGCGGGTATTCATTATTTACTGGTTAGGTATTCATTGTGCATCACATGACATTTTCATTGTTTTATTTTACATATTTATTTTATATGTAATCTGTCGGATTACAAGGTACTGTTTTTCAAAAAGTTCCGAACTACCAGGGGGTTGTGGCATTATTCTATATTCCGATAAATTCGATAATCCGACATCGTCTTGCAAAACATTTTTCGGATTACCGCAGGTCTACTGTATATAGTTGGTTGTAAATTATTTTAGAAGCTTATGTACGTAAGTGCGTGACATTAAAATAAGTTGGGCACGGTTTTGGCTTGTTTTTTGTGCGTCACATGAAATGTACACAGCCGTCCGTCTTTCTTATATATGTTGGTCTCATTCATCAGCCCGTAATTAAATGCTACGAGTGGTAAAATTGAAAAAACTGTACAACCGATTTCAATATAAATAAAATGAGAACAGTCAATTAAATACGCATTGTTAAGTATAACCCAAAAACTACTGGTCAGATCATGATCAAATTTATAAGGGACCACACGAGAAACACAAGCTTTCAAATCAGAATCATCAAAATCGATTCACCTAGAAAAAAGTTCCTAGGTAAGACACATAAAAAATACACTGTCGAATTGAGTATCTACTCCGTTTTGAAGTCGGTTAAAAATATCTTAAATTATTATATCATGTTGATGTTATGTTAATACAAGATTTACGTAAGGATTTTAATGTAATAAGGACGTTACTACAATGTTATGTAATAATTCCTGACGCTATACATTGAATGTAACAATTTTTTACAAATTTTGCCTACGTTACTGTGATTGAGTGATAGCATCGAGCATGTGCCTGCTGTTATTAAAATATATCAGAAGAGTTTCAGGCAAAATTAGTGCCTATAAAAAGGCACAAGCCGCTAATGAAAATTAGTAATTTTTACCCTACGTTCAATGTCATGTCCATAGCATACTATAAACATATATAATTCTCGTCATATCCCTCTACATTGTAGTTTTAATATCATCAAGGTCGTTCACAACCCTTCCGAACATAGGCCTCCCCTAATATCTTCCAAGATCGTACTACACTTACCGGTACCTACAAGGCTTCGACTTGAATATTCTCTCTTTCCGTACTCCCCTTCCCCATAGGTTGTCGGTTTTCCGAGATATAAAAGTCCGTATAATAATTGTTAGTACATGAAATAAGAATTGCATTGAACCTGAACGCATCCTTGAATTCGTTTATTTCAGCTCTCGACCTGAGTATCGCTGTCTTAATAGGTTTGGACATAAACTTATATCGAATTTCTGATAGATTTTGTGACAATTGGGCGCTGCACGCAAATATTCGTACTATTTCCTCTGCATTTAAACCCATATTTGTTATTGGACCTGAAAAAGTTGTTAAGCATTTAGGCGCATATTCTAAGGAGTAAACCTGGGCTACTTTCAGCCCATCAGCATGTCAATATTAATTTTTGATTCAATTTACGCAGAGCGATCTTATTCTATACTTCAAACTACTGTTTGAAGTCTTGCAGTGGTATGCTTGAAATTAGACTTTGGTGGCACTCACGGCTCCTGGGTTCGATTCCCGGGTAGGGCCAAAGATCAATTATGCGAGATTAATTATATGTGGAATGTATGCGTGGTTCTCTATTACCAAACCAGATGGCTGATGTGGCACGTGGCAGGCTTGGGCAATGTACTCGCTATTACCTAATCTATTATCTACTCGTAACCGGTGCCTTGTGCGGGGATTAAACTTGAGC